GTGTTTGCATTATTTTGTAGAGCGGGAGACCGTTACCTAACGCGAGAACTCTGAGAGTCGCCATTGTGCCAGATGGGAGAATATCTAACAAAAAATACACACATTTATTAACAAACATGTTTGTGTTTAGTGCAGGTAACCACATAATTTCTTTACTACATCAGTTTTTACTTGTTATTCCAGTCATATCGCTACTATTGTTTTGCTGATAATAGTCAATATACGATATCGTTATTGCACACCATAGGTCCAATTAATAATTTCAACTAATTAGATGCATTTAATGTTAAGCCTAATTGACCACGCTTGTCCATTCCATCATCATCATCATCATCATCATCATCATCATCATCATCACCACTACCATCATCATCATCATCATCATCATCATCATCATCATCACCATCACCACCACCATCATCATCATCATCATCATCAGCCCTTTTACGTCCCCACTGCAGGGGCTCAGGCTTTCCTTATGGATGGTTAAGGAGGATGGGCCAAGACTCTCCACGCTGGCCCAATGCGGATTGGAGGGTATTAACGACTGCAAATGCAGCCGGGACCAACGGCTTAACGTGCCTTCCGAAGCACGGAGTAGCTAGAGATAATAATCTTTTGGTCACCCATCCCGTGACCAACCCTAGTGAAAGTTGCTTAACGACAACGATCGCGGGCCGCGGCACTTATCCACTACGACAACGAGCTACTTCTTCCATATAACAATGATTTATAACATTTCACTGTGCGGTCAGTTTGTATTGTTTCATCGAACTTAGACAACAATCAGCGTAGATTTATGGGTTGGTTAAAACGATTCTAGGCACCAATAGATGTTCTAGTAATTATACAAACAAACTGCCTGGTCAAATCGCTACTATAAATTATTGTTATGTGGACCGGCCATAAGCGTAATTTAATTATATTTCGTCGGTATCACAAGCCGGACATGTCTATGTTACATTATAACGCTGGATGATAACTAAAGCAGACGAGTATATTCCTGATCGATTAAGTATAATTTAATCTTAATATTGTAATGGAAAGTGACTTCATATTCTAATGAAGTCACTTTTCAATAAGACTTCTCTGTGTGAAATAAAACGGAGAAAAAAAAACAGCCCTTGCTGAGTTCCTTGCCAGTTCTTCTCAGTACAAGGTCTCCCGCCGTAGTTTTGCGAACCGATGGCGTAGTTTTCAACTTTCACAAGTGCTTTGTAAAAGCCTAAACTGGATAAATAAATTTTGATTTTGATCTCCCTCAGGGGACTCTACCACGGTTCACGATACGGCCAACTACGTTGCTCTAACGTTAAGGTGCTGTTCGCCAGGCGGCGAGTTAGATCCAAGTTGTATGCCCATAAGAATTCCGAGCGACGACATGTACTTATGGAAGAGTTCTGTGAGATGCCTTAATCTTACGCGTTCCGTCACCTACCAGAGGATTGGGTGTATACCAGAGACACTACCGCCTGAGAGAGTGAGTCTTACACCCATTTTCTCTAACCTAGAACAAGGTATAGCTTAACTAAGAAACGCCTTATATTACGAGTTGCCTAAGCTGATTAGTTTTATTCCAAATAAATATGTTTTATTTTATCCCTTGACATATTTATGACCTGTCATACATACGCAAATGCCTAGCGCAAAACGCCGCACAATGAATATCATAACTTTAGATATAATTTAATTAAGGTAGGTGGTTCCTAGTCAGTGGTGAAATGCATTTTTACCTTAGGCGAGTCCTAAATATTTAGGCGACATATTTATGTGACTCCTAAGTTTAGTGAAAACGGGCATTAGTATTATTTTTATTGTAAGGAAAATACGTTGCACATGGGTTCATGTAGACAATCGCTTGATGAAGTGACAGAGTTATTCAGCATGCGTAGTTCGAAACACTCAAGAATTTCTTTATCTACACCAAATGACAGTTATCTTCGCTCTAGAGTGAAATTTTGTATCAGTGCACCCGAGAAAAATGATATTTGGATATATATAAAACGTTCTTGAGTTTGTTGTGCTACGCGTGCTGAACTTCTTTTTGGTCATTCGGCATAATAATTCACTCAATCATCAAAAAGGGCATATTCGATTAACGTTAAATTTAAAAAAAAAGTCATTTGCTATGTCGAAAGTAAGACAATATGGTTTTAATTTCATCAAGAAATAGTTCATTGTTAAGTAAATTAGGGTCGATTCAAATCTGATGGAAGATCCGTCAATAGTCTCACGCAAGTAGTATGCGAAGGAGATTCTGTCGAATGTCATGTTATAATAATTATAAATTGTCGTTTCTGACGTTCTGTGGCTGAAGAGATGTATTTTGTCAGATATGCACCGTTCCTACCGTCTCATTATAAAACGAGAAAGAACTATCAATTCGAAATTTTCTCTTATGTCATTATCGATTTATACTGATTTATACCAAGTACTAATGTTAGTCTTAATTTCATAATAAAACTTCATGTGATTAGAAAATGGGCTCACAAATGAATATTATTTTCAATTGTTTGTTGAAGACCTTTAACAAAGAGAATTAATATTGCAAGAATTTTCATACTTGGCCTTATTACACATCTAAGTGGATTACGAATGATAAACAACCTTCTGAGCGTGCGTGCATTTTGCCGATTGTTGAGGTCAAATACAAATGCAATCATTAAATTATAGTAAACCGTGTTCATTGTTTAACTCATTATAAATCATATAATGACATGTAATCTACCTTAAACTTGCTAAGGTTTTTAACATGATCAAAATGAATCATTCTGCCCGTTTTCACTAAACTTAGGAGTCGCCTAAATCTGTCGCCTAAGCATTTAGGAATCGCCTAAGGTAAAAATACATTCCACCATTGACTAGGAACCACGTAACGAAATTAGGTAATATCTAAAGCTGTATGACAGGTAATGTCAAGGCATTAAACAAAAAAAATATTTATTTGGAATTATACTAATCTGCTTAGGCGATTCGTAATATTAGGCATTTCTTACTTAAGCTATGCCATATTCTAGTTTATTGAAAATGGGTGTAACGGTATTATAATAATGTAACGAGTTTGGATTCGGGATAAAAATCAACGAAAATTAAATTCAGAACCCGATTTTATTTACTTCAGAAAATTAAAAGAAATAATCCAACAATAAAATTCACACTTCTATGACTTCACAATTTACATCACTACTCTCGCTTCACAACACTATTCAATCGTGCCGATAGTTCACTACACTAGTTTTCGCTTCGGATTCCGCTAGTATTCGCTCTCGTTTTCAGTTCACTGATCACTGAGAGAATGCTTATAGCCACCGTGTATTTATAGGGGCCGATACTACATCTAGAATGTTCTAGGTTAGGACCTATATAGAACATTCTAGGTTGGTCCCCGCTCCGCCGCTGTAATTTGAGGTAGTACCAAAAAGTACTAGAACAGCTATACCTTTCTTCCTCGGTGACAATGGGTAGACGAAACATCACGCCGTTACACTCCGTAACAATAATAATACATTTACTCTAAACTCATTGTTCATTGTCACTGATTCTGTGAATACAAGCCTTATTTATACAACGTGTCCCAAAATTCAACGATAAGCGGGCGCCAAGAGGTAGACCTGCTCATGTGTACTTATGGAAAAATAAGAAAAAAATTATATCTTATTAATCTTTTTTATTATAAAATAAAATTCGAAAATTTTCGAGAGAGTTGTAGCGAATAGTAGTGCTACTTAGGTATCCGATACCAAAAAAAGATTGAACATAATTGAGAAGTTGTGGTCGTGGTAGTTGAAAATATCATAAAAGGTGTAAATTTTCGAAGATTTTCGAATTTAATTTTATAATAAAAAAGATAAGATATATTTTTTTTCTTATTTTTCCATAAGTACACATGAGCAAGGCTACCTCTTGGCGCCCGCTTATCGTTGAATTTTGGGACACGTTGTATATCAAATCAATTTACTCATACATTCGATCTGCAAATAATAATAATCATATTTATTCATAAATTAAAGTTAATGTTAGCGTATAATATAGTTTATATTAAAATTTTTGCATTAGTATACATTAGTAAATGGTGTGTGTGTAAACATTTTTAGTTTATGTCTGAACTAGGTCGACCTGTGTCTCAGACAAGAAGAGCTAACATAGTTTAATTATATGTTTTAATTACTATTTAACCAGCAAACATTCTATATTAAATATTGAAATTAAAACAAACAAATATGATATTTACAATAACACAATTAAAAGCTTCTCTGTGTCCTCATACGATATAGTTTGAAAAGTTTTTTTTTTAATTTTGTGAGTGAATGTGCGCTATAGCGTTTTAACTATTGTATAGTAACGGGCCTAGAAACGTATAGAATTTTAGAGATTAAAGATTTTAGAGATTAATAGATATAAAGAGTATATATTATTTTTGTTTAGTTTTAAAATGAATTTTGCAGAATAAGTTTTTATTGTTTTTGTAATATATATTAACATTTAGTCTTCGGTTTCTTTTTACAAACGTAGTACATAATGTTTTATTAAATAAGATTACTTGGATTAATCAATCAATCATTTATTGCATAAAAATATGGTGTAACAGATGTCATAAAATAAGGGTTAGGATAAAACTAAACGTTAAATAAGATTATTTGGATGACCACTCTGGTGTCCTAAATTTGAAGAGACACGAAGTTGCATAAACGCCCATAAAAAATATCATTGGTTTAAAAAAGCAGGATTTGCAAAAAATCGATGTTTATAAAAATATCAAAATATCCGATAATTGATATATATCCATATATCAATCGATAAATATCAAGATATACTATATCCGTTGATATTTATCAACGAAACCCTGGTTTAAAGCAGTTACAAATTTATAAAATTCATTAGAGCCTTAAGTCGTCTTTATACCTTAATGTTTATGCAACTGGGTATTAGAAAAAAAAATGATCTTATAAATATGCAATAATATTTGAATAATTTTACGCCAGATTAATTTAACTCCGCCCATGTTGGATCTATCGCATGTATATGGCGGTGACGCCACGAGAGCGTTAAGCGCCAGAGAGAGATGGGGAGGCAGGCTAAGAGCTGAGAAACTGAAAGGGAAGGACTGGCCACCGGGAAATAACTTGATCTGTCTCCAGAACAATATCAATGAGAGTAGATGTCATTCAGCTGGTAAGTGACATAATTTTTAGTCTAGTATGTATTTATTCCCTTAAAACTAATCTTCAGAGTTATTAATCCTTCGTGCTAAAAATAACACAATAATATAAACAGTAAAATTTTCAAGTTACGTTCCGTATTTAAAATTGAAGACAATATAATAGTTTTTATGGTATTTTATCACATATTGATTTTAAACACAATCCAACAAGCCTTAGCGACATTTTATAGGTCAGATATCATATATGATCAATCCAACTAGCCTTAATGACATGGTGTAGGTATAATTTGTGCTGTAGTTCAGGTGAGTGGAAGGTTAAAACTCACACGATCAATTTATCTCATGAATTCATTATCATAATCCCCTTCATCATCAGTCCTTTTACGTCTCCACTGCAGAGGCTCAGACCTTCCTTATAGTAATTAAGGAAGATAGGTCATGACCCTCCACGTTGGCCCAATGCATGCAATATATTAATGACTGTTATATAGCCAAGACCAATAGTTTAACTAAAGTCCAAATTTAGTGGTGATCGATTGTGGGAACAAAAATCGGTGACATTAGTCCTCGTATATTGTATTGAATACTTCTACCATTTATTTACAAATCTCTTTGACAGCTGAATCGTTCGTCAACTCATTATTAGCGGTGAACATGGCTTTCCTCTGGTTTATGCGACAGCACAACAATTTGGCGGAAAGGCTCGCGAAGGTGAACCCGTGTTGGGATGACGACAAGCTGTACATGATAGCCAAAGACATCAACATTGCCATTTGGCAGCAAATATTTTACTATGAACTGATGCCTAATATAGTAGGTAATGCAGCCTTTATGTGTTCGCTTGAAATTTTTAGTGTATTGTGGCATTTTCTGCTAGTATTTTCTATATACGCCTGTAAGTGATTTAGCTAGATACATTGAGTGATTACATTTCCGAAGAAGAATCTTCTGGTCAGAAAATCAACGCAGTATTTAAAGCAAGATGAAATAAGTACCCAGTTAGTTAACCTAGTCAGATAAAGGGATTTAACTCGAGGGACAGATAAAAAAACTAGCAACCGCTGCAACAGAAAAAAATGCTATTATCTGTAATAAAATATTTGATTAATCATTTTAAAGGTCACACCTTTTTTTTTTAGTAAATGTCTGTTCAAATTTTCTTAAGATATCTACATAAGAAAATCTATCGCACACAATTTCCGTTTTGCATATTCTAGTAAAACTTTGTTCGATATTACGAGTATGAACAATTTTCTGTTTACAACATTATTTTATAGACAATATACCTAAAAAATACTCTTTGTGCATGCAAGAAGAGAAAGTAAACTTTCTTTACATTTATTATCTTACTTTTATTATTAATCATATTAGAAAAAGTTGACCTAATATATATCCTTGTGGTACAGATTACGAGTATCTATTGAAACATGGCGTGATATTCCCCGGTCACGGACATGTGGACGATTATGATCCGCATCTGGAGCCACGCGTCAGTTTAGAATTCACAGTAGCTAACAGGTGGTTCCACACGCTGCAAGAAGGAAGGCTCAAGTGAGTTTACAATATTTGATTCTTCTGTTCTGCTTGATGGCCAAATCTAAAAACTCCCTCTGATACTTGACGTACGAAATCATTAATTCTACATATTTTCTTTTTATTCAAGCTCTAAGTTACTGACACTATCTGTAGCATTTTATTTTATATTTGAAGAAGAAGAAATATCTATTGATTTCATATTTCAGATAAACGACAAGAAATCTAATACACAAGAACAAAGAAATTTAATCTAATATATAAAATAGTAACTAATTTTATTTCTATACAATTTTAAAATTTAATGAAAAGTTAAATTTATTTAATCAGTATCTGCCCTAGCATCTTTGTTGATGCAATTTTTTTCTGAGTAGAATCCTAATTGATATTAAAATTAACTTATTAAGATTATGAAGTTATAAAATTTTTTTTTATTGATTCTAATTGATAAGAATGAATTGGAATTCTTAGTAATAGTATTTAAAAATATTACATTGCCAATTTCCGATCTGAAGCTGATTTCGTCTGTAACAGGGTTTTTGGAGCGATAATGTGGGATATTTTTATCATGTTTTCAGTTTATATGACAACCATGGTAAGATATTAAGGCAGCTCGCTATAGTAGACTCAACGCTACACACCGGCATGCTGCCTATAAATAACACCCTAGAGGGACTCACTCAGGGTACCTTCAGACAAGCGTGTGCCAGTACTGACAAAGTAATAGATCCAGATGTAAGTATTGGAAAGACGCAAAAGATACGAAATCGAAATAAACTGTTGGAAAATAGAAAACAAGATCGTTGATGTCAGTGAAGACATGTACAAAATATAAATTTGTAAAATTTTTCAAAACACAAATCATAATGAACATATTTCGGTTACAGATGGGTGAACGCGTTCTAGGACGTATGCAGTTCGTGTCTGATGTGATGGCATCAGACATTATGAAGGGACGCGACAACGGTCTGCCATCATATAACCGTTACAGAGAACTATGTAAACTGCCCATAGCAAAGGATTTCGAAGACCTCTACTATTGGATGCCTCGTGAGGTCAGTATATTAGTTAAGGCAATTACCATAAGCAAAGATATCTTAAGCTTAAGCAAAGATATCTTAATACAAGCGTGTCACGCTACTCAGGTGCAGTACGAATTTCGCATAGTGTTACTTTTTTAGAATTGGGAAGACGACTAATTTTTGTTTGTTTGTTCGTCAGGTAGATTCTTGAAAAATATTGAACACGTATTCGTTTATTTTTTTCGTAATCATTAAATTACGGCGATGCGGCGACGGCGGCGGCATCATCAAGTGAAAATGTCACATGACGTCACATTATAGTACATTTTCTACAAAACTGTAACGTAACGAGCCCCCACTCCTCCAATTTATTTCCTGTTATCTAAGTTATTTTTTGTTAAATTGAAGTAAAAAAAAAAAAATACTTATACAATAATTTTTCTGTTGTGTGACTGACGGACTAAATAGACTTTCTTTTTTTTATTCTGTTGCCATCCCTATTCTATTGCCTCATTATATATTTTTTGGTGTATACGTATAACTTAGTAGCAATTTGAGTTGGCTCGTCGGCGTCGTTATGCCTTAAATCCTTTTAACAGTGCATCAACCTATATCGCCATTAGGGACTCCTATAAAATACAGTTAATACAATTCTATTTATTTGTAAAAATTAATATTTTCTTTATTTAATGACTGGCGAGTCTCGTCCACCTTCGTTTGTGATATTGTTCTGCTTTGGTATTATTTACCAGTTTTAATTTTCTTTTGTTAAGCATTATTATTTCTATATGTCTAGATTTAATAAAACAAAGTAGTTACAAAATGTATATTTCTTAAATAATAATCGATATGCTTAAATAATTCATCGGTGTGAATTTATTGTTAAGGTTTTGTATACCTATACGAAGTGATATTAATAATGGTTGTTTCTAATTCTGCGATAGCAAGTGGAATCGATGCAGTTAGTGTATGAAGAAGTGGAGGACATAGAACTGATGGCTGGAATAATATCTGAGGATGTGATGGGTGAAGGTGTAGTGGGTCCGATGCACGCGTGTATTATTGTGGATCAATTGCTTAGGTGGCGACGTGCTGATAGATTCTGGTACGAAAACTCGGTACACCCCGGGGCATTTACACCAGGCAAGTAAATATATTTAAGCTTAATTATATAGGTACACAAAATATAAGACACATATTTTTGTACTTTTTTTCGCAAAAAAAAAAATGAAGTACGTAATATGTGAGATTTTCTTCATCTGTTTTGTCGTCCATTTTGGAAAAATTAACGACAAAACAGTCTGCTGTAGGTAGGTAAAACTAGTAGTACATTCAGTCTGTAAAACTGCGCTGCTTAACAAAGTTGGTCGTTTAAATTACATACATATTGCAGTTTGAATTTATTTCATTTATATGAATACAGATTTGAAATTCAGAGACTTTTTCCCCTTTAAACATTATCACTAAACGGGCGTCTACTTTCACATACAAAATGCTCTATACAAAGAACTACAGTTGACACATAGAATGGACAGTAGAATTAAATTTACTGCGCCAAAATATATATGAAAAGTACGAATGTAAAATCAAACTTATGGACACTAAGCATTGATCAACAACGAGTATTATAAAAAAAATATTACTTTGTGTACTCAATATAAATAGATACACATATAAAAGTATACTCTTCTTTCATGACGTTTCTTGACAGATCAATTACATGAAATACGTAAGATGACCATGTCGAAACTTCTTTGTGACCATGGAGACAGTGTGGACTCTATACAGCCTAATCCATTTCAACTACCACGGACTGGGTGAGTAAAACTAACAATTGAAAATTTTAAATCTTAACTATGCTTAGCTCTATGGGGAACTAGTCAATCTACTTATAAATGACTTGTACAAACATAAGAGAACTGTAAATAATAATATTATTAAAAAGAACAGAGCTTATTTTTAGCAATAAAGCGGAAAACTGTTCTTACGATAGATAATTATTCAGCATGAACAAATTTGCAACAATTTACTGCTAATATATATTTTTTTTAATTCCCTTGTTTCAGTAACGAAATAATATCGTGCTCTGAGTATCCCGATATCAATATCAATACATGGCGAGACGAATCCTGCACTGCGAAACGAAAGAGTACGCAGAAGTATGTATTTCAAAGAAGCTAACGATATCAGATCGCGTGGTAAGGTCCGTAGAGCTATCATGGACAAAAACAAACGCAATTTTCAAAAGTTGAGTTTAACTAATTTCTATTTTTTTAAGTCTTCATATTTATCATGATGACATTAATCATGATTGTTATATTTAAGCAAAATAAAATATAAATGAATTGTAGTATTATTTAAATTAAACCTCTGATCTAAATCGTAACTAACATTTACTTAAGGCGAGATGTGTAGGGGCAGGACACTAACTGTATTGGAGGTCTATAAAATAAATGGGAGTTCGTTATAGCGGAATTCGTTCGCGGCTGTGAATTTAATTTTTAACATTCCAATAGTAGAATAATCTTATTAGATAATTATTAACATGATTTATAAAAATAATAATGGTAAATAATAAAATTTTGCAGCAAGGCCTAGTGAAATTTAACATTACCAGTCATTTGGAAATATAAGCATATAGTTAATTAATTACTGATTCTATTATTAGAAACAGAAGCAATTATTATTATCATTGCTTTATGGTTTTATCGTCCAATTCAAATATTAAAAAAATTAAAACATAAAAAACGGCATAGTGACTCGCACCATATTAATATTACATTCCTGTTATCAAACATATTTTCTAAAGTGTCGCCTGTGATATAAAGGTGCACTTTTCTCTATTAAAAACATGCCATGTTTCTCTTCAAGGTTGCTCTTATGAAGCTTCGATGACATTAGTCTCCTTAAGCGCTATCAGACCAACCCAATTTCAATTACTGTCCGCAATTGTTTTTAATGTATTTATCACATTCATTGCAGATTTTGATTTATTTTGATTACGAAGAAGCTCGAGATAGTTATTTGTTTGCAAGTGATAGTTACAATACGGTAATATGGTACATCTTTTACGCGAGCAAAAAAATATCAGAATAACTAAATCGAGGGATCATGTAAATGCTTTTAAACAAGGAGTAATTCTCCTTGGCGCTTGTGCACTGCTGTGTCCGCGATCCGGAAAATTCATGAGCCTGCGTAGTAGGCTTTTGGGAAATAATAAACATTTATGAAAAATCGATAATATTTGTTTCGGCGATATTGTTAATTTTCAATATACTGATAATCGATATTGATTGTAGATAATAAAATGCGATATTTTATATGATGATTTAATATAGTTGGTAAATATCAGTGCATATGCTCTGGCATGCATTTTATCATAAAAAATAGGTGGAAATAGGGGATAAAAGTTTGTAAACAAATTTTGATAGTGACAAATTTCCATATTTGTCATTATCAAAATTTGTTTGCAACTGAACCCATCTTAGTGAAATTTGATATAGAAATAGACTTAACTTTGAGCAAGGACATAGACTACCTTTTATCGCGAAAAAGAGGTGGAAATAGGGGATGGAATTTTGTATGGAAATTTGTCAATTGTTTTTAGGCAATTGATAAGTATAAATAAATATATGATAACAGAAGTATGTTTTTCATATCATTCCGGACCGGAAAACATCGGACCGCTGGACCTGAAAATTCAGTGTAGTGCACAAGCGCCCTAACTCGTACATCCAAACAGATCATTAGATTAAACAAACTAAAATACTGTTATACGGAGTATCATCAAAATGTATCATCTCGAGCTCCTCCTTGCTTCGGAAGTTACATCAAACCGTTATTCCGGATTTCTCTGCGATTGTTAATAGATTTTATTTGATTTCATTTATAAGAAATGCCTGAATTATGTCCCAGTTAAAACGAGATTCAAACCATTTTCCGACTAAAATAATAAAACTGTAAAAGGTTGCTAATGATGTGAAAGAGTTGTTCTACTGGTCAATAGACTTTACTGTGGCTTTGACTATATTCTAAGTAGATCGATGTAAAAGAAATTTATTCGAATATTTTAATTTCGTGCATTTACTTCATATATTCATGCTGTAGTAGTTTATTGCAGCCATTATGAAAAAAGCATAATTTGAGGTTTACTTTTAACGAATTACAAAAAGTACAATACAGGGAAGTGGCGCTAGTGTGATATGTTTTTTTTTTATAACAGGCTAAGACATTGTTAATTCTATTTCTATAGTTTTCAAATCTACAAGAACAGCGAGGAGAGTAATCGTAACGTTGTTTATAGATATTTTTTTATTGTATTAATACAATTTTGAGGCGTGAGTATCCTGGCGACTCGGTCACAGCTTTCCGGCTCTCACAGGTAGGGTTTGACATAAGGGTTTTTGTGGGTTAGGCCTCCGGGAACTCACTGCGCGGCTAACCACGTTTGGAGTTCACCAAGGAGAGTCCCACAAAGCTCCTGCTGCTTATCAGGCAGCAGGGATAGTGCTTAATGCATTTCCTCGACGGAAAAAAGGTAGACTAATGTTACAAAACATTTCGAATAACAAAGGTTGTGAACTACCTATTTTCCTGCGTATTATATCCCGCGTATGATGCAGCTCCCCACAGGTGAACGAATTTTTATGATCAGATAGGTTTTTCGAAACATTGCCTCTTTTAAACGATTTCTAAAAAGGAGGAGGTTTTCAATTCGACTGTATGTTTTTGTGTGTTTTTTCTTATATTACGCGATTACTCCACCAATTATGAATTATGTTTCATAATACTTTTTTTTTATACAACAGCTCAAATAGGACTGCTATTTAAATGATATTTAAATCGAATCGATGGTTATTTTTGTATAATAACAAAACAAAAGATAGCGTACTTTGCATTCATTCAAAATCCGAAAGGGGGAATTTCTATGTTCAACGGGTATGTATATTTATCTACACCGATTTGCTACATCTTACGTTGCAATAGGGTTGTGTTCAATAACTCAAGAAAATATAATGTTAAGTTATAAACAATAACGCTCTATAATTTTTATAAAAGATATGATATAAACAGAGACATTTTCGAAAAATCATACGATGCAGATTTGAAAATTTATGAAACATTTATCTCATCATTATGAGGTTCCCATTCTTTACATATAACCACACTGTATCATTTTCGAAATTCTAACTTGTTATTTTGATAATGACAAGTATTCTGGTACAATAAGTCGATAACTCTTTCAAAATAATTTCTTCTGTATTTATTTTCGTTAGATTTTTTGACGCTGCCGCTATCAGGTTGGTACCTGACTACCGTACACGGTACTGAGTGATTGTAGATACTATTAGTACCTCCACATACTGAAGTACCAATCGCTACAAATCTCGCACATTTTGGTTACGAGCCTTCAGATTATAACAACTTTTATTGTTGCTCCAATTCGAAGTAATAGTTTTTACTTGGAATCTGAAACAAGTAGTACAATGTCGGTTGATACAATTAAATATTGTGTTAATCTTTTCTGCAAAGGTGATAATTCATTAGGCTCAGATGCCTACAAAGTAACTATACTGGCATCGATTACCTTGTCTTGTTTGAATTATAACGCATTCTAAGTTCAATATACAGGAGACACATTATAACCTGTAGATGAGACACGGCTTTTGAGTGTTGTTGGATATGCGTATTTAAACTGTAAAAAGCACATTGAACATCTAAAAATCGTTTTTAGATAAGCTTACCTGTTTTTGATACGCTTTGAATAGCTTTGTTGGGGTATCGACAACAAAAGCATCGTTACATGCATATGAAGTTTGCTATATTTCATTACTCAATTAAATCTCAATATTTTTTTGTAAAGTGCTCTATAGAATTGTAAAAGTAACAATAGTTGAATTAAATTTATTGCATGTGACCATTTTGAAATTTACAAAACATATTTAATAATTTTAGAAAGTAATAAGTAGATGGTGTCATATTACACTATGCCTTAACATCTGGCAAAATTGTTTAGGTGCTGTACGTAATTTGAATTGGACCTATACCTTTGGTTTGCGATACAGATCAGCCATGCTTGTTTTTTAAGTAACAATGTTTATCAAGGTTTAGATTTAAAGACATCGCGGGTTATATTATAAATTTTATACGTTGGTAAAAAAATCAAGTGAATTACCTTGTTATCATTTACAGACCACCTTTTCTTCCTTGCCATGACAGTTCAGTTTTATACCCCAGTAATCTTCGTTTGTAAGATTCTCACAAGTACTGCATTAGTAACTGGAAAACGTCTGGAATCTTTATTTACTCCCGAAAGAGTCCCTTTTCATCATTTTACTAACACGCACGAAATATGCTCAATTTAAAAAATAAAAACATTGTAAAACAGCATGATAATTTATCAACAGTATGAAAGGTTTTTATGCTTTAAAGCAGATAATTTAAATTACAAAATCAATTGCATACATTTAACTTATTGTGGTTACCTGACATGAAAACATGTGTAATTGTGTATACACAGAGTCACATTACGGTGCTACAAAAAGAAACTGTCACTAAATTTTCAACACGAATCAGATTAGAGAAATTAAGTCAATTGGCTCAGATCTTTTCTATTGATAGAATCGTATAGGGAGAATTTGCCATGACCTATCACGCAGGTCCAGTACGGATTGGTGAATATGTAAGACTGCATATGCAGCCGTGACCGAGCGTGCTAGCCACAGCGACATCGACCTCTTAGAAAAAAAAAACAGTAAAAATTTGACAATATGGCGTCCACTAAATACAAAAACTTGAAACAAAAAATTTGGCCTGCTATTTCTTATACCTAAGCCAAATAGTCATTTTTTACAAACCGCTACTTTATCAGCTTACTAGCTTTCGCCTACGGCTTCGCCCGCATGGTGCTGAAATGTTTAGTGAGATAAAAAGCATCCTATGATCTAAGTTATATCTGTATACCAATTTTATCAAAATCCGTTTAGTAATTTCGGCATGACTGACGGACAAACATCCAAAATTTATGTACCTATAGAATAGTTTTATATTTTTTTGTTTATGACAATTGATGTTTTGACAATTATTATATTATTGTGTGTGAGTCGGTTAGCAACACGAGTAAAGGATTTCTAGTGGTCCATTACAAAATATATATTTTGTTGAAGTATCTAAGATGCGTTTTATTTCCATATCCTTATCATCCAAGTTGACGATATCATCCAATATTCCGGTGAAGAACACATTACGAAACTCTCAAATGTGTTTTTATAGTTATTTCTTCTAAATATTTGATGTGTTGATTTGTAATACGTAAAGTTTTTTATAGTTATATTATGTTGAAACATAGTGGTCTTGGTTGTATCTAGGTTGTTGCCTGGAAGAAATTGCTTTACTGTACTGTACTGTACTGTAAATTTATGCTTGTATTCATGTTTTACTTTGTGGTGTACAAAAAATGTTTATTAATTCATTTTACGTGAATCAATAAATTATTTATCAGCATAACATTGTAAATTCTAATTAAATAGACTAAAATATAATAATCGGTTCAATACTTTCGGAGCCTATTCTATGCAAATATATAAACATAAATACAAACAATGACATCTTTAGTCTTTATAATGTTGGTATAGACAAGTTTATTTCATTCTGATTATTATAAAGGTGACATGTTTTAGATTCAAAAGACGAAAGGAACTGCGTTTGATAATGTTCCGCAAAAAATAATTAGATTGCCCATTTTGAAACAAAAACAAATATACATAAGAAATAAACAAAAGAACAAAAATTTTTAATAAAATTAAATTTTAGAATAACTATAATGTTATACTCGATCAAGATTATTTAAGGTTAACCACACCCCCAAGCTTTCCGTTCCATTTAGGACTATGAATTGAATTAGTTTCAGAATTAACTGCATGAAACATATAATAATCCGTTCTAATTTAGGTTGGTAGCATACCATTTACACGCATCACTGATCGCTTCCTGTTAACACTTATAAATAATTATCTAAACAAATGAGTAGTATAACAAGATGAAGTCTTTAAACTGGGTAAAATACTCAGAGTCAGGTACGGTTCAAGACGGCGGGGTGTCTCTCTTACAGGCGATATTGGCGCGGCCGCAGCAATATGGTCTTTTAGTGGGTAAGTTAGTTAAAGGTTAATGGACTACACCATAGAATTTATGTTTATATAAAATATTTTTGTGGAGTTGAGAGAAAAAATTACAATCGGCTGGAAGAACCTCATTATGCTCTGAGCCTCACTCACACATGAGGTGGAGAGCAGCCCACATTTGGAGTGATTTGTCCGGTATTTAGATTAGGATTTCTATGGGTATTACCCCACTTTTTGACCTCTTTAGTGATCTCCCCAATAAATAGGTCTGCTGTTTCCCCGAGCAATCCATGCTAGTTACCGGGACACGGACTATGCGAGAAGGTGACATGGAGGTTTTGACGGGTAGGTCAGTCGCTTCTACCATCTTTGGTGGTTAGACAGCCCGGGACTAGTCAGCCTATCGTTCAGAACGCGTAGCCTGACAAGATCGAGTAACGCATTGTCCACATCAAACGTCTCTTTTCTTGGGTCAAGAGTGAAATATTGTATGGACGAACTTGAGTAAAGTTAAATTTGGATGTAAACAAAACGTTCTCAAATTCGTCATGCTAAGCGTGCAGGTTCCTTCAGACAACAAGGATAGTGCGTTGTGTCTACATCATCCAAGTGTATAGTTATTTAAAAAAATAATATTATCTATTGGTGGCCACGTCCGAAAATAACTATAGTTGTGATAAAAGTATCCCATATAATAAATTGAACTAAATTGTACATGATGTACATGATGAATGACATCGAGATCACTAAAGATGTTCCGAGTTCTTTGAGGGCAGTGCCAGATTGATTTTTTAGAAAGAAAAATAATAATCTTCAAAGTACTTAAGCAATTACAAGTAGAGCTGTACTACTGATCAATAGATTTTTACTGCATAGCATATTAATGTTATGCAGTTAAAAATCTATTGAAATAAAAATATAAATATTAATTTATTTAATTATAAAAGATTGATTCGACATTATCCTCGGAATGTGCATTTTAACAGCCAACTAACAGATTGAAATGGATAGTGATTAATACATTGCAGACGTTTTTGAATTTAAACTGAAAAAGTGTTTTTAAAATACCTTATATAATCCCGACTACGTGCTTGCTTTGTATGTATAAATACAGTAAGTACATATGACCATGATGTAAATTCACAGGCGTTTTAGTTGTTTTCATGTTTGAATTATAAATAGGAATTACGTATGTTGTGTAAGTTTTGGTTTTACTTATAACTTATATCAATTTATAATCGAAATTCAAGAAGTAATTGTTAACATTAATTACTCACTTAAGTAGTAAATCTAATAAAAATATGTGTTAATATGTGTTAATAAAGAAACTTGAATAGTTTCTTATTGTCTATAAAAGTTTTTATGTTATAAATAGTTTTTTTCTATGAGCGTGATAATAATAGAATGATTGTAAATATTTCAGCCTTACCGTAATGGATATAAGTGGTACTCTGTGGTCCTGCGTGGTGATATCTTGTATCTATTCGGTGACAGCAGAATGGTACGACACTTTCACTGGTAATCAGATAACAGAAGCAAGACTGGCTGCGTTGAGACTCAACAATCTTATACCGTAAGTGTTGAATATGGGTAAACACTGTTAAGTAAATAATAAACTAATCCCAATAATGGAGCGCTGAGCAAAAAGTTTAGAAAAATTCTGATCTCAGAAATAGAAAATTGTCGTCATTTGTGAAAGCAAACACGTAGTAACCTGCAAAACTAAAATTGTTCTTCAAAGCAGAAAAGCTTTTATTTTTTTTTCGATAAATAATTCCTATAAACGTCTATGTAACAAATAAGCTGTTCCTTAGTCAATTCATACAAATAAAAGATATTTTTTTGGAAAAATATAAAGATTTTCCACTTTAAATATCCATTTTGTTTTTTGCGGGTTACTACGTGTTTGATTTCCAGCGTAGAATGTATTGTATATATCGACGCTGGAAAGCAAACTCGTAGTAACCCGCAATACCAAAATTGTGCTTCAGAGCAGAAAAGCTTTTATTTTTTTCGATAAATAATTCCTATAAACGTCCATGGTAATGAATAAGGTGTTGCTTAATAAATTTATACGGAAATAAGATATTTTTTTTAAGAAAAATATAAAGATTTTCCACTTTAAGTATCCATTTTGGTTTTGCGGGTTACTACGTGTTTGCTTTCCAGCGTCGATATGTAAGTTTATTTATATTATTGTTGTGTTATATTTTGTAATATGTTTATTATTATTTTTAATTAAAAAACGGTTAAGCATAAAAATTCTTTGAGCAGTCGCCCGGATTGCAAAAGCTCATGGATACGAGTCCACCTCAGAGTGCCAGGGACAAAAATATTTTTTATAACATTTTTTCATTCAGTATAGAATTGTAATTGCAAAATTGATCACAAATAATAGTAAGAACAAATTTTTATCTTTGTCAAAAGTTGAAACATTTGTAAAATATTTCTTTCGGCTTTTACAACACAGCGCACACACACTCTTTATATTATTTAAACAGTATTTGTTAGTTTGGTACTGGCATGCACTGGGATGAGGACTCCTTGAATCGCGGGTGGGACCTGTGGTGCTACCAATTAACCATTTGACATTCTAGCAATAGGATACGACGCCTTAGAAAGTATTATGGCTGGCTACATTTCGTTTCATTTTAATATGTGCTTTAACATGTTTTAATACTGCTGTCAAATCTATATTCATTATTGTTTAAAATTCGTTCGTCGTTATTAATGTACATGTGAAAGTAGTAAAATTAAACGAAACAGCGCTTTATCTCGCTAAAATGTCGCATCATATGGTCGTTCGATCTGCTGGGGTTCTGAATTATAAGGTTGCTTTAGCGTAGGCTCTAGATCGCATAAAATAATTGACTGTTTACCAGGCATTTAATGATTGTGTGATAAATAAATAATAATCGTTGTTAATATACATTATTTTTAAGGAAATATTCAAGGTCAAAACTATTCAAGCATTATTTCTTTTGGTTTTCTATTCAATAAAGGTGTTTTTTCATTAAAACCAGCATTCTCAAAAGGGAGATAGAATAATATCCAATTCATATATCTCGGTCATCATTGTTTTATTTTTAGATGGTGCGCCATAGAAGTGAAGAATTGTTCATTGGATGAACCCCGTCGATTGGACAACAGTTGCAATAATATACACCGACCATCACTAGGGACCATCATGACCCCTTATCACCACATCTTGCCCCCCGACTTTCCTACAAATGGGGGGCTTCGGACTGCAAAGGTATGTTATCTTGAGCAAATAACGCAGAACTTCAAATATTTCGTTGCAATAAATCTTTATATAATAAACTACTTCTAGAAACAGAGCATACATGTTCATTTTGGCGTGGTAGAAAAATTTAATATCTCGTCATCATCATCATCATCATGAGACCCATAGTGAACGACCACGTTTCGCTTCCGTAAGTCATCACTGGCAACACACACTGATTGAAGACTTTGGACGAAATAATGATAGGTTTCTTTCGTTTCTACATAAATAATAGGAATCAAGTCCCTATTAACGCTTGTGTAATATTGAGGAGACCGAAAACAAAGTGATTAGCGTTTTTAGTCTGTAATGCAGAAGTTCAGTAACCTTCTCAATGACCGGTCATAGGATGGGTGACCAAAATTGTATGATTCGCTGTCGTAACTAACCTTTCGTATCGTTTTCATTCCTTAGATTCATATCACTAACTTTGCTTATATCAATAAACTTTTTAGTGTTTTCCATTTATATTCTTTACTTTCTCCATTCTATAACTGTGGTCCTTCAATTTTATATCTGTAACCATTAAAATTCTGTAATATAAACTTATCCAAACCTTTACGAACTTTCATCCTATGTTTTTGTCTACTTATACTAATGTGAACCCTTACCTGTACTTTTCATAGTTTTTCTTTATACATTTTACCAATTCTAATCATATTAAAGCACTTATTTACAAATTATAACACAAATTATCGCAAATTTTAATTGTTTTGACAGAATTGACATCAAAGTTTTTCTTCGTTGCTATGGTTATATTTGATACTCTTCATGAAAATTGACTCATTGTTTGTCAGTTTTAGGCATTGAAACTCTGTAGTTTTTGAATTTTTAGGGTTCTAATTTGAAATCATTTACTTCCAAATTTGAGTTCGTCTTCAGGCATATAAAGCCTCGCTCAAATAGTTCTTGATCACTTCAACGGCAACAGTTGCCAAGTTAGCTTTTTGGAGCTCGTACAGAGCTAGCTAAATTCTTAAAAGGCCTATTTCCCGGGGCCGACTGCCCCGGGAACTCTTCAAAGTTACGGTCTCAAAGTCACATGACATCTTTCTGGCTTTAACTAGACGACAACAATTCAATACTCCACTATAACCTTCTTCGCTACTTCACCCTCTGAAATCTTAGACCAAAATTGCGTCTCTTGGAGGCTGTCTGCGAGTATACGTCTTAGGCCCGAGCTGCTGCTCAGTTCTGGGCTGCCGAAGAATCCCCTGTTCGACGCATCAAGACTACGCCTCGCCGATTTACGCTCTCGGTTCTTGGCTGCCGAAGAATCTCCTGTTTTATTATCCTTGTTTCATAACATCGCATGGCGTGATTAGTAGTTGATCCCGGCAGCATTCCCAGTTATCTTTATCATCCAGATACCCTCATCGGGCCCTTTTAGTGTTATGGTCCATTCTCCCCTATTTGATTCCATTTGAAGTGAAGGCTTGTTTCCCCTGGAGTGGGGATATTTTTGTAACATTTATTATTTTAACGGTTTATAGCGCAAATTAGTAAATTATACACAACAACAATACTGTGAGATTTTTTTACAGTCCGGAAGAGCGTTGCCCAACGCGAGAGCTCTCAGAGTCGCTCTGGTGCCAGACGGAAGAATTCCTAATAAAAATTTCACGCATTTACTCACAAACATGATTGTATTTGTTACAGGTAAATATACTCTAAGTGAATAAAACCCATAATTTCAGTTTTATTAGATTATATTATCTGTTAGTCTCAAGTTGAGACTGATTTGAGAAGAATCAATAAGAAGGTCGTGGCTACTTTATGAGTTTCAAATTTATTTTTATTTGAAGATGTAATAATATAATAATACAGAGAAATTAAATTTAAAAATGATGCCATTAGATTTATAAGATCATTATTCATATAATAAGTTGCATTGCGTTTCACAAAAATTGACAAAGATATTATTGTTGTTTTTCATAGCGGACTCTACTACTGTCCACGACACGGCTAATTATGTTGCTCTGACGACAACGTGCTGTATGCCAGGCGGCGAATTAGATCCAAGATGTATGCCAATAAGAGTACCAGACGACGACGTGCACCTGAGGAGGAGTAACGTTAGATGTCTCAATCTTACGCGCTCCATCACGTATCAGAGGCTCGGGTGTACACCAGAAACGCTACCGCCTGAGAGAGTGAGTGTATCAATATACAAATTATTTAAGTCTTGAGTGGTAGAGTAAGTGAGTACGACAGATATAGCGATAAGAATATTGGCCATTTGGCCGTTGTTGTTAAAAAGCGGAGACACTCTAATAAGACGTGTAAAACGTTTTCTTTCTTTCTTCCTTACCGGGTTTGCCCTCATAATCCGGAGTGTCCCTTATCATGAACCTGTGGAGGTAAATGCTCAAACCGCCATGTCCCGTAAACATCATCCCAGCAAAATTTTCAATCTTCATCTTTTCCACGACGGCGAAGGCATCCACCTCATTTGGAAAGAATGTCTTCGTCGTGGATGCCATGTTCTCGCTCCTATAACAGTTGCCCAATTCTACCCACATATAAGCGAGTAAAAGTCGCTTGACGAAAGAGATGGGACAGCAATCATAGTATAATCGAAAGTTCAAGGGTTCCAGTTCCAACTCAGAGTGCAAGGGAGAAAGTGGATTTTTTAAGAATTTTTCAATATTGCATTGACCATGCCATACGGAACAAATTTTCATCTCTATCGAAAGTATAAATATTTGTAAAAATATTTCTTTCCAAACAGAATTGCTAGAACACATAGGCTATGTAGTAAGGAAAAATTAACGAGTGCTTGAAAAATTCGTCAGTATTGTTAGGTCATAGGTCCTATCTCAGAGTGCCAGGGACATAGTGTATTATTTAAGTATTTTTATTAAGAATATTTTTCAGCATAGCATTCATTGTGAATGCAAAATTGAAATAATAATTAGATATATCCTTTTATTATTAATGGAGTTATTTGTCATACAAAAGTAAATGTACTTAAATACGAGATACATCAAGTCTTTTGTTTAATTACTGCAAAAAATAGATATTGTTTCATCGGAATACGCTTTTGAAGATATAAAAAACATTTAATATAAAACAGATCTAGGATCAACATATAACAAAAACATATATAAATATGTCAATAATATACTCGTACCTCGTATCAACTTATGTTGCTTGATGGCTCTAATTCTACTACAATTTATTACATAAAAGTTGATTTAATTATAATTTTGATAATAACAATTGTTGAACTAAATTCTGGCAGATAAATTTAAATACACCTATGCTGGATCTGGCTCAAGTCTATGGCAGTGAGACTGCAAAAGCGATGAATTTCAGAGAGAGATGGGGTGGTAGACTCAAAGCTGAAAAACTGAAAGGGAAGGACTGGCCACCAGGTAACGGTCGAGTCTGCTTCCAGAACAACCTCAATGAGACGAGATGTCATGCACTTGGTGAGTTTTATTATTTTTAATTTGAATGAGTTGTAATTTACTTTGGCTATTCTTGTTTTGAATATAATAACATTTGTTTTTAAACTATAAGTAATTTAAAAACTAAATCTTTAATTAAGAATATTTTCTGCTAGAAGTTATTAGCAGAAGATAAATGGCGCATAGAGAATTTTTTTTTGTGTTGTCAAGCTGATAATACACATAAGTCTTGTTAGTTCCTATGTTGTTCAGCCGGAAGAGTATTTTAAACTAGATAAAATAGCATAGTAAAATTTACTAATACATGTGTTTCAAACGTCACACAAACTATGGCTGGAAAATAGTTGTGATCGTAAGCGAGGACTGAACGGGGATGTCGGTTTTTATCTGAACATCGAAATTTTGACTCTTTCAATGCTAAGATACTTATCTAATGATTAACCTCAACAGCCGAATCGCTGGTCAACTCTCTATTATCAGTGAACATGGCATTCCTCTGGTTCATGCGACAGCACAACAATTTAGCAGAAAGACTCGCGAAGGTGAACCCATGTTGGGATGACGATAAGCTGTACATGGTATCTAGAGACATCAACATCGCTACATGGCAACAAATCATGTACTACGATCTGATGCCTAACATAGTAGGTAATATCACAGATATTATAATACACAGTAGTAGATATAACTACATCACATTTTTTTTATTATAACGTCTGTACAATAATCTCCAAGGCTTGCAAACCCTTATTGACTGTCACTAATTTGCCACTTTTTATTTCTCTAGAATATCTCTTCTGTACCACAAAAACTCATCCACGTTACTGATAATATTTTCTATTTTGGTGATTGTTTACCGTATATATCGATCTTAGCAACTATATCTTCCATATTTAAATAAAATTATTTGTTATTTCTTCTATAATCAATTTAAAATGTGTCGCCATGTGAGGGAACACACCGCAATAATTCAATAAATAATTCAAAATGCATCGTTTATTTAGTAATAATTTTAGCTTTAGAAATTGACATGTAAGATGGATTTTAAAAGTGAATTATATTGTCAACGATTGTAGGTATTACAATTTTGTATGAAACAGCTGATTAATTTTTCGTAAACGCTGCTCCCACAGTAAAAAATGTGCAGTATACTTAACTAATCCACTCCACGAAGTTAACGGGGTCGTCATTCAACTTTGAATTTTAAAGATTCGTCGGGAGTTTCACGAAAGAGGGCGTTAGAATCCCTCATGTTAGTACGTTGTGAATCTAGGCTAGGTCGTGATTTAAAAAAATCTAGATTAACACTTACTAAGCCAGTCAGTGTTATCTTTATGATAATTAGAGCCAATATGTCTCTATTTGAAATTATCAATGGTAGAATTAGTGCGTTTGAAAACTCTACAAGGAGACTCGGGTTCAAGGTCTCCGTCTTGAACCGCAAGTAAATGGGTATAGGGATATTAGGATTACTTCATATTTGGCAGGATAGTGTTATAATAAGATAGTGTTAAGACTACAATCTAGTGTAAGGTGTCATAAGTAAACTATGGTTTAAATATTAATAAAAGAATAGTTAAACGTATGAATTGATATGTATTAACGATGTACTGCTCAGAAGAAAAGGATGAAAGAGCCATAACAATTATAGGTATTAATGCCTGAGCTCTGTAACAATCAGGAGGTATATGATAGGATGTTGAGATTAGACTGTGTTAACGGCAATAACTGGCCGAAATGAGTGTTATAAATTGGAATATTGTATATGCTATTAGTGTTATATTTAAGGAATAGCTTAAGATAGCCAAATAGTGAGAATTAACTACAAATAGGACAAAGCGGGGTACATATAGTATTCTCGTTATTATTATACTGTACATAGTTTACGTACTTATTATATACATCTTTATGATCATATCATATTGATACCCCCAGAGTGGGAGTTGGTCAAAAAGCAGGTGCTTGATCTTGGCATTCATTATGTTTACAACCCCACTGTGAACAATGAATATGTGCCCGAACATAAATAATATATATTTTAATAATATCCTTTCCATTGGATTTAAATATTTAATTATTTTCTAACCTAGATCTTTTTTTCCATCCTTTAGCACACTAAGGATCACAATCCTTATTAGATTCTTAATTTCTATGTTAATCAACAACGTTCTATTATAACGTAATATAAACAGTGTTATTATGATTAGGTACCACTACCTCTTTTTATTAGAATCCTCTACTTTAACGTTAAACGTTCAACTTTAAATTAAATTTTAAATTTACCATTGCCTAAGTTTAAAACCCATATTAAGAATTGTCTACTCGGTAAAGGATATTATACTGTAAATGAATATTTAAACGAGAAAACTGCTTGGTGTTAAATATAGCTCATTTTACATGTACATTAAATTGTTTATCGGTGAGCTTCTTCGACTACACATGTGATTCGATTGACGAAAATACTGTTTGACTCATATATTTGCTAATATTTTAATGGAAAGTGACTTCATATTTTAATGAAGTCATTTTTCAATCTTGCCGCTCTGTATGAAATAAAACAGGGAGAAAAGAGCAGCCCTTGCCGAGTTTCTTGCCGGTTCTTCTCGGTACAAGGTCTCCCGCCGTAGATTTACGAACCGATGGTGTAGCTCTCGACTTTCACAGGTGCTTGTAACAGCCTAGACTGAATAAATAATTTTGATTTGATTTGATATCATGAAGTATTGAGCAACTTTCTAGTTGTAGGTTAATTAATTTTATTTAGTAGGTAGGTAATTCTTGTCCATGCTCTCGATAACACATTCTCTTACTAGACTACCAATAGCCTACAAAAAAGAACTAGGGTTTAATTTATGTTTCATATTTTTATTTAAACTTTATTTAAAATTTTAATATTTAGGGGAGGCGACGGTACAGATACTATATTTTTATCAGGCTTTTCACAATTAATAAAAAAATTAATAACTAGTATCTTTCATTATATGAATTGATATCATTAAATACAATCAATATATAATAAAATCAATATAGAGACTTTTGAATAGCCTAATTAGACTCTTATGTAGACCCTTGTAATACCCTCAGATTACAAGTACCTTTTGAAGAACGGCGTGATATTTCCTGATCATGGGCATGTAGATGACTACGATCCAAGTCTAGAACCGCTTGTCAGTATAGACTACACCGTTGCTAGTAGATGGTTCCACTCACTTCAAGAAGGGAGGCTCAAGTGAGTTTATAATTTTAAATTTTTAATAAATATTGTCAGCCACTTTATATAAGAGTTTTTACGTTTCTTTTTCTTTTGATTGATTTTAATTTGTGATTTTTTTTGTTTTGTACGTGTGTTTTTAATATATTTTTTTTTGCCCAAATTTATCTTTAATTAATTTACAACAGTAATAAATAATATATTATTTATCACGTTTTCAGTTTATATGACAATCAGGGTAAGATATTGAGGCAAGTGGCAGCAGTAGAGACGACGCTACATACCGGTATGCTGCCTTTAAACAACACTCTCGAGGGGCTTACACAAGGCAGTTTCAGACAACCGTGCACCAGTACTGACAAAGCTATGGACCCCGACGTAAGTATGTAACGGTGTGCCATGCCACCGTTTGTTTTCCTAGGTTTCAGTATGCAAACTTTTTACTTTTGAAATTCAACATCATTTCATTTTATTACTCGTCTTTCGTAATTTAAAATTTTGACTAATCAATTATACTCTTTATGGATGTCAGTTCGTAAGAAATTCTCCTATGCACAAGATGAAATTATAATACAATACAATATTAATGGTATAAATTTTACTATGTAATTTTAAAATAATTCATTTATTGTGATAAATAATGTGATATGGTGATACAAATTATATAACATATGTAACTACTAAATTGTAATCTGTATTTTGAAAGATCCAAAATTTAACTAGAAGCCCGACAAGGGTTTTTCTTATACCCTTATTTAACTAATAAATATATACTCAAGCTAAGCAGCCTTATTAATTGACCCAAGCACCGAACCCGTAACAAGTATAAGATGCTATATATCGAGATGGGTAGGTGACATAAGACACTGATGATTTGAATAATGATCTGAAACGGTAGGCATTGTGACTCACCTTAGATTATAAACGGTAAGTTTGCCATGGCGATATTATGCTACTAATGAAAAAAATATTAAGTGTCCGATATCGTCTATGTTACCCAATTTACTATTATTTAATTAATTACTAACATTCTCTATGATGTAAGTAGTGACTTAAAAGTTCCATATGAATCAAATTAGCGTTATCTAGTAACATCATCATCATATGTATATTTGCGTAGAATTGAACGATATCATTATAGCGATAGTATATTTATGAAATTCCTCATTTTACGTCTCCGTTTCAGATGGGTGAGCGTGTCCTAGGCCGTCTGCAGTTAGCATCCGATGTGATGGCATCAGATATTATGAAGGGACGCGATAACGGTCTGCCATCATATAACCGATACAGGGAACTATGTAAACTGCCAGTAGCACATGATTTTGAAGACCTCTATCATTGGCTGCCTCGTGATGTCAGTATATGAACAACATCTCATTGTCGTTAAATATTTAATAGTTGAAGGCATAGAAGGTTTATTAAAATATGTTACAGCGTCTTATTCAAATTTGTTACAGCAAGTAGAATCGCTACAAATGTTATACGAGGATATAGATGACGTAGAATTAATGGCTGGTATCCTGTCTGAAGAACCTATGGGCGATGGTGTGGTGGGTGAGACTCACACTTGTATCATAGTGGATCAGCTGCTAAGGTGGAGACGTGCTGATAGATTCTGGTATGAAAACACGGTGCACCCCGGGGCATTTACACCGGGTAAGTGTTTAATTAAGCTTTGATAGAAAATAAAAGTACGTAGTACCTATAAACTAACAGATATACTGGATCTGCTTGTTCGTTAGTGACCCGTTTTAGGGACAATATAGACTTGTTCGATCTCATCGCAGAAAAGGCCTGTTTTCGACCAATGGGAACAATAATAGGCAATAATAAAAATAATACCAAATTTACTAATGTGACACAGAAAATAGTATTAATATATGCATGTTTTTTTAATTGAACATTATGAGAAAGAGAAATTTTGAGAGTTGCATCACGGAAATTAAGGACTCATCCGAGAATTGCGTACGAGTTAGACGCTTTATGGTATTATGTATAAGAAAATTTCACAGTATGATATTAGACATCGTTAGATTTAGCTTTTTAATGAAATACACAGGAAATTGCTTCTTATGCAAATAGTAATAGCGAATAGATTCTTTGCGAATTAATATTCACTGTGCAAATGAAATGACTTGACTATTTAACGTTTTCTTTTAAAAATTTGATATTCTGTGTATAAAAGTAAATCCATAGAATTTCTTTATGTACATAGTTACAAAATCTCAGCTTTCTAAAGAGTACCTATAGTATTGTTTGTAATTTAATTGTATTATTCTTTATGATAGATCAATTACATGAAATACGTAAGATGACAATGGCTAAACTTCTTTGTGACCATGGAGACAGTGTGGACTCTATACAGCCCAATGCTTTTCAATTACCACGGCCAGGGTAAGTAAAAATAGATAACTGTCTTTCAGTTTAATTTTAATGTTTAATTGTAGTCAGCTTAGTCAGTCAAGATTTTCAAATTTAAAATAAAGCATTGAAAATGGCAATGAAACTTTTAAATACGGCTTTAAGTGTTCTTTTACAAAATTGATTTTGAGACCCAGCCAGATTTTTGTTCGATCGATTATAGACTTTGATTAAAATAAAAAAAAGGCTTGTAAATGATCGCTTTCGCTTGCTTGGGCAATATCATGTTAGTGTGTTAATATTTATCCCTATGTTATTTTATCACTGCCATTTTGGGATATAGTAGCAATGAGTATGTTCTATCATTCCTTTTTTTGCCGCCATTTATTTATTTATTTGTTTGTTCGTTCGTTCGTTCGTTCGTTCGTGCGTGCGTGCGTTTGTTCGTCGTTCGTTCATTCATTCTTTCTTTCATTCATTCATTCATTTATCAGGCTCTCACAACGAGTACACTAAAACATATATAACTACAAATGGTGTTTGTCAGTGCATAGCAATGTAGTGTAGTTCAGTATCGATAATGGAAAATATTTGATGAATAAATAAATAAATAATAATAAATATTTAACAACATCACATACATTGCTCAGATTCCAAGATGAGTAGCTAAAGCCCCCGTATTATGGAGTATCTGAGACAACGAAGGTACCACAACACCCAGACCCGAGTCAATATAGAAATGTTCATTTTCTACATTGACCCGACCGGGAATCGAACTCGGGACCTCAGAGATGGCGACACCTTGAAACCGGCGTGCGAACCACTCGGCTACGGAGGTTGTCAATGATGATGACCTCCATGGCCGAGGAGCTCACACGCTAGATTTAAAGTGTAGCCATCTGCGAGGAACCGGGTCCGATTCCGGGGTGATTTTAGAAAATTAAATTTTCTATACCGTCTCTAGTTTGGGTGTTTGAGATACCTTTGTTGTTTCAGCTGTTATCTAAATTAAGAAGACCTAATCCGTTTTAAAAAATGAATTGTTTCAGCAATGAAATAGTATCATGCTATGAGTACCCAGATATGAATATAGATGCGTGGCGTGACGACTTCTGTACCGTGAAACAAGGTATACAGTACGCCAAACAAGCGAATGACATCAGATTGCGTGGTAGAGGGAACTACTAATTCAATTTTAGATGAGCAGTTTCAAATTTTTTATAACTTTTAAATAAAATATGTTTTATAATGCCTGTGTCTATGTTGTAATACTTTTGAAGGAAATATAAATGGTGATATTGTTTTAGTTGCTTTTGTTTCTATGTTATCTAAAATGTAGCTTTGTCTGTTCGATTTTTATATAATTTATTTGGAATATAGGCAACAATGTCATACAAATTTGTCATATTATAGATAAGGTTTTAAAATTAAGTAAAGAACTTATAGCATTGAGACATCGTCATCATCATCATACCTGTTACGTCCCCACTGCAGGGACTCGGGGCTTCCTTATGAATAGTTAAGGAGGATGGGCCATAGCCCTCCACGTTGGCTCAATAGGGATTAAAGGACATTAACGATTGAAAATGCAGCCGAGACTAATGTCTTAACGTATCTTCCACAGCTCGAGATATTAATTTTTTTGAAACCCATCCCGTCACCAACCCTAGCGAAAGTTGCTTAACTACAACGTTCAACGTTCGCGGCGATTATCCACGACGCAACCGAGCTACTTGACATTGAGTGTAAAGGTAAAAAACAATTGCGATAATTTGACATATTTTGGTGCTTTAAGTGATGCCATGTGTACAATTGAGAGTTAAAATACAATTGAAAATTCTATATATATTTGGGGTTAAAGTATGAAATTGCTGTTTTATTGTAATAGGTTCCTTGAATTGACATAGAATCTTCATGGTTTAAGGTTTTCTAAAGAAACTTTTTTCACATGGTTACTACGAGTATGATGTTCTTTTTTTTTTAAATGTGAAACATTTAAATATCGACTTTCAATTGTTTTTGTTATTCAACTTAGACAAGAAAGATGGATACTAAGAAAATTCGAGTGATATTTTAATACAAGATTCGACGCGGAAGTAACGCGGCAGAAACAATCCGCAATATCAATGTTGCGTTTGGAGAGGGGTCTGCTAATAAACGCACCGTGCGATTTTAGTTTAAACGCTTTCGTGATGGAAACTTCGACTTGAAGAACGAGCCACGAGGATGAATTAAGCGAGATGGTGGAAGCCGATCCTAGTCAAACTATCCAGGAATTAGCGGTATGATTTAACTTTACCTTACCCACAAGATAGACTCATTCGCGTCAAATCAATAAAATAAAAAAAAATACGAAAAATGGGTGGCTCATAATTTGACTGATCTGCAGAAAGAAACGCGTGTTGAAACTTGTGTTGCTCTGTTGAATGTACAGAAATGAAGGAATATTGGATACACAGCACGAGAAACCGTTTCGACCCTTAAGGAATTGCAGTTAGAAACCATTCGTCATCCTCCGTATTCGCCAGACCTTGCTCCAACGGCCTACAATTTTTTTCGTGATTTCGACAATTATGTACGTCACAAGAAGATTTTACCTTATTTCACATAATTCAACATCAGCTCTTTCATTGACTAACTTATATGTTTGCTTCTATAAAATAGACACCTACTGGACAAATTTTTAAAGTTTTCTCACGTACGAGAAGTTACGTCATACATAGGAGATATATATTTTATGCGAGCAAAGCGGCGCGAAAACAACTAGTCTCATGTATTCATAAGACTAATGTGAATGTTAATGTCTCTGTTGTCATATACAGACTGACAATTAGATAGAGTTTCCCAGAAGCAGAGTGGCGCAGTGGAAGCGTGCTGGGCCCATAACCCAGAGGTCCGTGGATCGAAACCACGCTCTGCTATATCATTCCTTTTTTGCTTTACATAAGTTATCTGTAGATATAAAATATTGTAATAATTAATCTATTTTTATTGTTATAATGTTTTAATTGCTTACTTTGTAATACTTAATATAATTTCATAAAATTTAGCGTAAACGAAACAACTTTTAAACGGTTTCATCGTGTTTGTATTAAGTTTTATTGACGTTTCGGACACTTTACAGGTTCGTTGTTAACTAGCGTAGCTCGGTAGTGTTAAGTAACTTTCGCAAGGGTTGGTCACGGGATGGGTGGCCAAAAAAATTATCTCGAGCTACTCCGTGCATCGTAAGGCATGTTAAACTGTTGGTCCTGGCTGCATTTGCAGTCGTTAATACCCGAAAATCCGCATTGGACCAGCGGGGAGGGTCATGGCCCATCCTCTTTAATCATCCATAAGAAAGTCCTCACCCCTGCAGTGGGGATAAAAAAGGGCTAATGATGATTGACAAAACTAAATATTTATCTGAAGTGTTCCTTATTTCTGGATTCTGTTTTTCTGACTATGATTTCACTAGTCTTTCGCTCTGGCCGTGACTAATCTACATAAAGATTTAAAACATGCACTTTCGATCAGATATAGGAAGACAAGACTACGCCTTATAATATGTAACGTTATCAGTGACAAGTTTACGACAAGTATGCATTTTGATAATATTTCAAATACTCAGTCAGTCTAGTGTCTAGTCAAAGAGCAATGCATTATTTAAGGTAAGTAATCTGAAATTCCGTGACGAAAATCTACTAGTGTATGAAATCCGTCGGGTATCTGCTGGTTGACTTTACCCGAATAAAAATAATCCTATTAATTTGATGTACTTAATAATAATTATATGCGTGTATTTTTAATCTTAATTGGGTTTTAAGAGTGAATTTCCATTTTTTAATTTTTTTTCTTAAAGATATTTCAATTAATATGACTGATATTCCTAGTGTTTAATATGACATAATTCATTACTTATTTAATATGCAACCACAAAGTGCGTTTAGAGTTATTTTAATAACTTCCGAACGACTCACAATATGTTTCCCTAGGGCTTCTTTAGTGAAATTTCTGTGCAAGATGAGTTTATTATACCAAAGTTAGTTTTAGTATCATTTATTAGGAAGAGGTGATTTGTGGATTAGAAGTCTAACTCTAATCATTACACATTAGAATATGATTATTTATGATTAATTAATTAAATAATGTATTTAATATCTCATGTTTGCTATAGTTCGACAAATTGCTATTTGAAGTTAGAGCCTACAGGTTTCCTTTAATCGCAGGTATGTTGTTACGTCTATATTATTTCTTAGATATTAATTAATTATTTATTTATAAAATATAAAAAATATCAACTAGCCTTTTCTATTTGATGATTTAATTATTAGTAATC